TTACACTTTTTTTAATTAATTACTCATTAATCTGCTAAAATCGTTACACCTTAATATATATATTTTTATTATTTATATTTTGGATTAGTTACTAATTAATTCTAAATTTCGTAGCAAAATATTCAAATGTGTAACGGCTAATGTTGGAACTTAAAGTTGATTGGCAAATTCAGAGCTGTAGCCGCTATATTTGGTTGCATTGTTGGAAGAAAAATATGATTGACACATATTTTTTTTCTTCTGAAAATCAGAAACACCAATAATTTTTTTTATTTATGTTAGTTTCTTAATATATGCCACAAATATATACATTATTTTATTTTTGTTACTAATGTAAACGTTGCATGATTAAAATAAAATTTAAATCTCAATTAATTTTGAATGATAAAAATAACTTAAGAAAAAATAATAATTTGTATGTGATAGAAGTACATGTCTAATTAATAAATACAAACAAAAATACGTTTTATATCTGTGTAGTTGCACACTATGGGTATGTTTGGTAAGCCAAATAAGCTAGTTTATAGCTTATTTGGTTAGTTTATAAGCTCCCTATATTAAAATAAGCCTCGTTTGGTAGGACGAGCTTTTTTAAAAAGCTCGAGCTTATCCCATAAGCTACTTTAGGTAGCTTTTCAAATAAGCTAGTTGAATTTTTATATTTCAGCTAGCTTATCAGCTAATTTACCAAACATTTTTATCATACTAGTAAACTGGACGTGCGATACACGTGGTGATGAATGTTTTTTGACCATTAAGTTTAGTAAAATAAATTAGTTAATTTATTAAACAAATCATTGCAAAAATGAAATAAAATGTAGAACAAATAAGCTTCTTATTTTTTTAAAATAACATAATAATGTCCTAATAAAAAAAATTGAAAGAACATATTACAACTTCAAGAAAATATAGTCCATGGGAATAAAACACTAAGTAACTAAATAAAGACCTAATGTATAATATAGATACATTAGTTCTTTTATTTAATTATATTAGACGATTCAAGAGTAATTTTCTTTCATTTTGATTTTGACGTTTTCGTAAGAAGCATTCATACCCATTGAAGCTCAATACATTAATAGTATTGCAAAATTCTTCTTAATTCATTCAGCAAAATGTCTACATTATTCAAACACTTATAAATATTCTAGCTAAACATATAGTCAGACTTCATGATTGTGTGGTCTTTATAATGTATTAATACTAACAGTTCATGAATATCTCTGTAAAATAACCAAGGTGTCATTACAATTGTTAGTATTTTTTTATCATTGTATAAACTACTTTATTACTCTATCTCTCTCTCTCCACATATAGACAAATTGTTACCTATCTCATGAAGGCATCGCCCCATGGTGTAGGAAAAAAATACATCTCCAAATAAAAATTGACTTACCAAAATCTTAGTTATATGTACTTCTCCCGAGGTGTTAAATTACTTTCTGAAATCATCATATTACATGAAAGTATGTACACTAATGTAATTGCACATATGTTCAACCACAGTGAGATTGTAATATTCCAATCAAAAAGTGTCAATTTCATTCAAACATTAAAGAATGTATTGAGCCTGGATTTTTTTTTTCAATGTCAAGATTGACGAACTATATAATCTATTGTTTGCAAATCATTGATCATCTTGGTTGTTGCAATTATTTTAGACTTGTTTATCATAATATTTTTCACATTCATTCGGATTTGTAAACTTATGTGCCTAATAACTTCTTTAATGCTTGTATTGTCCAATTTTTTTTTGCATCATACGTAATGCTTCGAAAATTCAAGATAAAGAACTCTTCTTGATTCTTCGACAATGACAAACAAAACAAAACAAAACAATTAGACAATATTAAAAAACATATTATTTGTTAAAATGATTGAGAGAATAAAAATTAGAATTCTATTATATTATGATACTCTATCGTCTGCGAACTTTATTATCACAAAGTTATTATTAAACCTAAATTATCTATTACAAAGTTTTATTTCTTTAGT